GGATTACTCGGTGCCCAAAAAGCTGAGGTAAAACGCGGAGGGGAGGGCGGGCGGGCCGGGGCGGGGGGGCAGCCGCGGTTTTACTTTCGCTACGGGCCGACGGGGCGGCGGGAAGAGGGGAGACAGCGCGGGGCCCCCCCGCCCCGACGGCCGCTTCCTCGGGAAGAGCGGGAGGCTCCGCTCCGAGCCCCGGTGGGGCAGAGCGGGAGGGAAATGTTCGCCGCGTTGTTATTAGCGGCGTTGTTATTAGCGGCGTTGTCCCCGCCGGCTCTGCGGACCCCTCGCTCGGGTTGCCCCCTCCGTGCTGCGCTCGCCCCCCGTGTTATTTAATTCTTTCTGTATTCGATTTATTTGTATCCCGCTTTGCCTGGGGATAAACAGAGCGTCGCTCGCAGGGGGCAGCGGAGCTGCTGGAGGCCAGTGCTGGCCCCGCTGCCACCGGGCAGCTCCGACGGCGGCTTGGGGAGCCCCTTATATCCGCCACGGTGAAAGGGCGAAGCGAATTGCGAGCGTTTCCTTGACTTTTTTTTCCCCTTTTCTTTTATGCATATATTTTTCCCTAAAATAGCCCGTGCCGGCTTTGCTTTGGGCAGCGCGCGCCCCGCCGCGCGCGCCTTTCGGGCTTGTTTTCGAAGGAGCTCCGCTCGCCCGGGCGCGCGGCTGCCTGCGCGCTCGGGGAGGCCGAACCCCCACTTGCCTGGGTGCCACCTCGTATCCGACCCCGGCGTGCCCATGCTGGGCAGGCGGCAGAGCCCGTGTGAACCCAAAACACCACTAAAACCTGAGGCGGCGTTAGGCGCTTTTGCGGTGGCCACGTTCTCCCCGCCACGCGGGAAACGCTATCGCGCCATTGGCGACGCTTGCGGGCAAAACCTCGTGCCCATGATGTCCCTAAAGTCCCTAAATCTCAGCACCGGTCCCGGATCCTGTGTTATCCTGGCGTGTCGGGAGCTCGCGATGCACGACGGAGGCAGAGCCGCGGGTTTGGGGGCGTTCGGTTGCTTTGCAGTTTTGTGCGGTGCAAAACAGATGTAAACAAGGAATCCGTCTTTACCTAAATTCATAATCTGCCTCCAAGTGGCATTAGTTTCCCTTTAGATTCTTAAAAGAACAAGCAAAAACACATTTAAACACCCCATAAATAAGCTAATATATCTCTTACCTTAATCTGGGCTCAGCTGTCTCCTAAGTTTTCCATTTCAGCTTGACTCCCGATTCCTCGTGTTGTGGATATTTAATTTAAGATGCTTTTTTATTTTTATTTTTTTCCCACAAAAAAATAATCGAGTGCTGTTTTATATTAAGCCCCATGGTCGGCATGGTTGTGCTTTTTGCCCTAGTGTGCGTTCAGTTATAGGTTTGGCCGTGCTTTATTTTTCTAACGTGATTTTCTGGCGTGGGAGACGGGATCACATGGTGGTGTTTGTAGTTTTTTCCGCCGATGCAGCTCTCTTCCTTCCCCTCCAAACCCGTAGAAATGGGGCTTGTGACGGCCACCGTGAAGCCCCATAGGGTCTTTGGGAGTGCGGGGGGTCCGAGGGTCCCACTTGTCCCATGCAGGCGCTGGACAAGAGGCATGGTTAGAGCCCGGTGTCCGCTTTTGGTGCAGTCTGGAGCATTCGAGGGCTTCTCAGCTTTCCCCTTTTGTCGTTTCTAATGTCGTGGGGCTGGGAATCCATGGGGTTTGATTGCAGGCAGCTTTCCCTTGGCTCTAGAACTAATCTGGGTTGCTTTATTTACATACATATATATATATATTTATATACATGCACATGTGTGTGTGCAGAAATACAGATGTACCGAATTTGCAGCATAAAAATATTTGCTCGTGCTTTACGTTCCCGCTTGGACATTAAATGCGACGAGGAGGGGCTTCATACGGGGTTGAATGCAAAGGAAATGCGATAAGAAACCTGCCTGTAAAACGACGGGGGACACTCGCCCGCGAGGGCTCGTGCCTTGGTGTCACCAGAGAGCCTAGAGGTGCTGGGGGGGCTGCACTGGTGCGAAAAACCCGGAGCAGAGAGCAGCAGCTCTGCTCAGAGGCAGATGCTTTGGGCCTCCTATAGGACCCATAAGACAGTGTGCAATTGTCTGGGGTTTGTATATGTCGCTTTGTGCATTGGCGAACTAAATAGAGAAAAAAAAATCCTCTTTTTTCTTTTTTTTTTTTTTCTCCCCTCCTTTTTTTTTTTTTTTTTTTTTTTTTTTGCAACTGGGCGACGCAATCCCGTTTCGGGAGTGTTCAGCATCAAAGGGCGCTTGATCACGATGCCCCTCGTGCTGCCCCTGCCCTACCTTGAAACTTGGATTTCTCCTTGCGATCCCATCGAGGAAATGCAGAAAATGATGATGACTTGTTGTGAAACATTAAAGGGAAAAAGAATAATAATAATAATAATAATAATAATAACACGACCACCGATGCTGATTTTAATATAAATATTTGATAAAAATAAAAGGAACGATGCAGTGAGTAGCAGCAAGGTGGCAAAGCTTGACTAAATGTGGGCAAAATGTCTAGATTTCTAATTTCCTTATGGGAGTCTTGGTGCTTTCTGCTTTGGTTGTTGTTTATAAAAATGAAATGTGTTTTTAAACGTGAAAAACATATAAACAGCAGGCGAGGGGATGTGATCAGAGTGGATCTGGACTTGAAGTCAGTGTAATATTTGAATGGACCTTTGCAGCAAGTGGCAAAACTCCGGCAGCTTGTTGCTTTTCTCGCTCAGGTGCAGGGAGTGATGAGATACGATGTGGCTTTGGTCTCTAAATAAAAATATTTTAAAGAGAGACCTCAAAACGTCGGGATTTTGAGGGGGAGAGGCAGCTGTTTTCCTGCAAATCTGATATATTTTTTTTTTCCTGGAAAGGACTTCCTCTTAAATCTTGCCTCCTCCTAAAATCCCGAATTAGAGGATGATGAGGGCACAGATTTGAATGTAGAACCCCGAGGGGCGCCTACTGCCTTAAGCAGTTCTTGTTTTTAACAGTTTGTGGAGGGGGAAGCAATAACCCCCAGCACAAATTAAACCCGCCCTCTAAAGCTACCGAGATTGCCTTAAATCTACCTGGCTGTGTATCGGAGTTTAATTAAAAGCTGATGAATTAGGTGCAAAATTAGTACGAAGGAAACTGCTTAAGCGGGGACACGGTGTTTAAAACTCCTTATGGGGAGGAACGTGGGGCAGGGGTCGGTGTCGGCGCGAGCTTCTGCTCCCGCGAGTGCCAGGGTGCTTGCCCAAAACGGTCCGAGGGAACGGGCTTGCCGCCGTGAGCAATTCCCATGATTCATTTTCATGCTCGCGAGTTGAAGTAAGCAATAGTGTGTGTGTGTGTGTGTGTGTGTGTGTGTGCATGGGGGGGACAAAATAAAATACCCTGGGGGAAAGTCTTGGCGAAAGCAGCGTTTGGGTGGTGGCACATTGGGGACCGGCCGCTGTGGTCTGCGGGCGAAGGAGCCGTGGGCTGCTGTCGTGACCAACAGCGTCGCATTTGTTTCTGATCTTTTTTTTCTTTAATTATTATTGTTATTATCATGTTTTTATTATTATTATTTTTCCCAAGTGTTGATCAAAGTTTAAATTGACAGTCCTGTTTTTGGAGCCGCGTTTTGGAGCAGGACGGACCTTGGGGTCGGTTTGGAAGGGGAAGAGCCCCACCAGAGTAGTTAGCCCGAGGTGTCGACACGGCACAACCCACTGGGTTGGGAATGTATGTGATATTTGTATCTTTTTTTATTTTTTTTCCAATTTTTTTCAGTCTTTATAATTCCCCTGCTCGCTTTGCAAACCGACCCTTTCCACTTTGCAACAAAGGGCACCTTCTCTTTGGGGCTGGCGAGCGGCGTCCGCTCCCTGTTACTTGTTAAGCTTTTGCTCTTCCCTCTTTGCATCATTAATTTAATCCTCCCTTGCCCCTTTCTGCTAATACCGCAGCTGAGTATTAGCCTATTTTGGGGGGCTTCCCTTCTACAGGAAGAGGGTCCAGAGCTCACCAGGCGCCACCCTTGAGTGGCCGAGCAAACCTTCGCTCCTACCCTAAAGCTTTGGCCTTTATCTCAAAGAAATGTTATTCCGTCAGGCCAAATTGCACTCATCCGTTCTCGCCAGCCAAGTGTATTTTTCCACTATTTCTTTGTGTGTGTTCGTTTCCAAACACGGATTAATTTAGTGCTGATCTTCGCTACACCGGTTGAGCTGTGATTTTGTGATAGTGACTTACTTCCCCCCCCTTTTTTTTTTAATTTAAAACTCTAAAATGCGGGAGAAATTAAGATTTCTGGGGCTAAATGTGCCTGGAATGAATCTGCAAACCGTTTTATATAGGTAGGTAATCTTCTCTTTCCTTATTGCTATTGTAGTGTTAATCACAGGCCCTTTTCTTTTAAGGGAGAGTAAAGCTCCGTGCAAGCCATACCTACAAGTAAATCAATTATTTTGCAGGGGAAAAAAAAAAATACATGCACAACTTCAAATGCACCTGAGGAGCAGAAATCATATGCAGGCTGATCTGTATTTCTAATGTTTTTTGCTTGTTTGTTAAGATTTTAATAGTTGTTTTACTGCTTGCTCTACCAGAGAAGGGGTGTGATACAGGTGGTGGGGGGGAAGAAAGCAGAATTACGGCACCTAAAGAGCTCTGTTTTTGCTGTGTCCCCATAGGCCAGGCCATGGAGGTGCCACCACAGTCCCCTGCCGGGCTCAGGGGCTCTGTAGGGAGCTGGTGTCAAGATCATTATTGTTATTAATAACAATCATTTATTATTATTTTTGTCCTGGCTTTGCCCGAGTCTCTCTTCCCCGGCAGGGTTGACCCCGTGTGCTTGGCCTGGGCTGTGATGGTCTGAAGGTGACAACTGAGGGATGTGTTTTTATGAATGGGGATCAAGGAGGGGGTCACATCAGGTGGTCTTCGTGACACCTCAGCAGGTCAATGAGCCCAAGCCCCCCCCAACACCCTCAAAATGCCAGTGGTGAGGCAAGAGCAAGCTGCCCACCTCCGAGTCGAGACGTGGTGTGGGGAGG